ACAATAAACAATTTAATTACTATAGTAAAAACGTTATGAGCCCAACGGATATTAAAATACTATTAAAAGAGCATTTTCCTTACTTCATCTCGCAAATATTATCATTAGAATTGAATGGTTTTCCGAAAAATGTAAAGACTTCTGTATCCATGAAAATAATAGATTAAAAATGTGTGCGCATGTCTTGTGTTATTGAAAAAAATATAAAATAAGTGAAATATTGTAAGCCAATAAAATAATGTGCTTATCATGAAGATATGTTGCAACAGAATAAATCTCTGAATACAATAGAATATCATTAACTTCGATATTTGATACTTTTTAAAACTCATGTGTAGTTTGAATATCTTGCTTTATTTCAATCATAGTTCATTTAAAAAAATTCAGCAATTATTTTCTACAGTTAAGAGATTTTTCAGTTTTTCCTAAGCTTCACTTTCAAAACTTTGCATGTGAATTGCAAAAATGTATAATGAGAGAATGGATTCAATTTCATTAATATTCTAATTGTTAGCTATACATGATATAAACAATCTTTAAATATTTTTAGAAAATATTGGGAATCCAAAAAGAAGATTGTTGACTTTTAGGACTGAATTTAGACAGTTAAATTTTTTAATTCTCTCTCTTAGTATTTGTCTCGCACTATATGCATTATAAAATGATTTCCAAAATTTTTGTAAGCCAAAAAAAATTAATATAGTTTATTTGTAATGCTTGACGGGAAATCGTACTGGTCCTCTTAAAAATAATAAATATCAGACTCTTACATATCAAAAACCTTACATCTAATATGATATCTGTAGGCATTCCTTGTAAATAATAATTTGAAATGTATTCCTTTCACCCTCAATTTGCTATTTTAATGAAATCAACTGTTGCAAGCATAATTTACTTTTATACCTGTTAACTTTCTCTGTGTAGTTTGTTTGTGCGAAGGAATGATTACACAAAATTTATTTTGCTTGGAAAATACCCTAGTAAAATTTACATTTCATTGACTAATCTTTTTCTTCATCATCAATTACAACCGTTTCTCGATGATTATATAAAGCATGTATGGTAAGTTAAATGAATGAATGTAATGCATGCAGAGTAAAAAAAATAAAGTTTTCCTTCCACACAATTTCGAATTAAGATTTTTTGTTTTTTACAGGTTTATGTCATAAATTATTAAATAAGCTTCAAAAAATGTTTACGTTTTGCAAGGATAATGCCAAATATTTATTCCTCCCCTTCAACACTTTTTCATGCATGATAGAAAATTTCGGTTGAAACAGAAAGGTGAATCACAACTATGAAAAACGTTCCAAGAGTTGGAAAAGTCAAATTGACTGTCTTAATAAATATGGATGACATGTTAGCATGGTTTCAAAAATATTGCCTGCTTGGTTGTATGCATAACATTATAATGCGAGTCGATCAGAGTGGGTTCTTTAAATTGAAATAATGAGCTGATAATATCAAAATGGCCATGCCTTGAGAAAAATAAAAATAATGTAAATAGGGAATAGGACATAAAGTCACCCCAAGTATTAATCGTTTGACCACGTTTCGACATGTGTAATAAACTGATAAACAACAAAATGCACTGCCTGTATCCCTCTTTAAATTATGGAAAACGTATTTTCGCTTACTTTACTTTTTGTCTTCATTTATTTGCTCAACATTTATTTGACTATTAATAACGATTTTTCCTCTTTCATTCATCTGTTCTTCTTTTTTTTTCTCTTCAAATTTTTGTTACGTTGTGTGACGTTGTGTTTACTTTTCCGATTTAGACAGAAGTGTTGAAAAAAATTAGTTCATTTCCTTCATATACATTACAAAATAAAAATCATCTAAACTAAATTTCGGAGATATTAAAATTAATTTGAGAGTAACCAACCAGGTGGAATTACATTGAACAAAATACTTTTCTGGCTTCTCGATTTCATCACGATGAATTTTTTATTTGATATTGTTTGTTTTCTCAGTTGCAATAAAAAATGGGCTTTTAAATTTTTACTTAAGTATGCAAGTCAAAAGGGGTTACAAAAATAAATAAAATATGCATCACAAATTTTTTGATAAAAAAATTCTAACCCGGCAAAAATATTTTATTTTGTGAGCTATAAATTTATTTCGAGACAAATCTATCTACAGTGCAATCACCTATGACCCTCCTTTGTGATAAGTATATAAGAAATTGGGAATTTTTATGAGTTGATTTTTTTTTTTCTGGAGGGATCTGAGGTTGTAATAAAGTGTTACACACGCATTTTCTGCATTGACACAGATAACACATTAAGCGTGATTTTACGAGTATTCGCATAAAGACGTACTTTTTTTGGTTTTATGACCATCGGTGCTGCTCTTATTTATGTTTATAGATTGATGATTCATGATGAAATTTTCCAGGAGATTTAATTGAGTTTTTTGTTCTTGTATAGCTTTTTGAATCACTTCCCCGAATAGACAAAGAGCGTGCTCACTTTTGTGAGCACGTTAATGAGCATGCTCAAAATCATCATTTAACGTGCTCACCTGAGCACACTCAGTTGAACATGCTTGTGAGCACATTGTGAATATGCTCACAAAAAAATAAATTTTTTGAAATTTTTTATTTTATTGAGCATGCTCGAGAGCATACTCAATTCCTAAATCTAAGCATGCTCACTTGAGTACACTCTTAAGCATACTCGTGAGCACATTGTGAATATGCTCACAAAAAAATCAATTTTTTTAAATTTTTCATTTTATTGAGCATGCTCGAGAGCATACTCATTCTCGAGAGCATGCTCATGAGCATACTCAATTACCAAACTTAAGCATGCTCACTTGAGTACACTCTTAAGCATACTCGTGAGCACATTGTGAATATGCTCACAAAAAAAACAATTTTTATAATATTTCACATTTTATTGAGCATGCTCATGAGCATACTCAATTCTCAAATTTAAGCATGCTCACTCTTAAGCATACTCGTGAGCACATTGTGAATGTACTCTAAAAAACATTTTTTTTAAAGATTTCACATTTTATTGAGCGTGCTCAAGAGCACATATATTGAGCATACTCTGAGTATGCTCATGATTTTGTATATACTTCACAAGTCAAAGTTTCTAGAATTATATATAGTTATCTACTTTTTAACTATAAACATTGTTTAAAAACATTTTGAGATCAATTTCGAAGTATTTAACTTTGTTATAGTTTATATATGAGTTTTTGCCATAATAAATTATAAAGGTAAATTGCAGCAGTGGTGTAATGGTTATGGTAATGGTCTTAGCAACAGAGCGGTCGTAAGTTCGAATTCAGGTAAAATTCAAAATTTTCTTAAGTGTTTTTTTCAGATTATTAATGAACAAAATTTATTCAAGAACATTAAAAAACTCTACAACAGTAAAATATATCAAAAAAAATAATTTCAAAATTTAATTTTTTTGAAAATTATAAAATAATGTGAGTACACTCAGTGAGCATGCTCAGAGTACACTCACGAGCACACTCACTGAGTGTACTCAAATGTCACATCATATGACATAAAAAAATGTTGCATGTCACACAACAATTTGAGCATGCTCAAAATTTGTTAAAATAACGTGCTCAGAGCATGCTCAAAAAACGTGCTCATTAGCGTAAAGTAGTGGCATCACTTTTCGTATGAAAGAGCACGCTCACGCGAGCATGCTCAGCACTAAATTTGAGCGCGCTCATAGCGTGCTCTTTGTCTATTCGGGTTCCTTATTTGGAATTACTAATATTTGCTAGTTATTTTTAAGAAAATGAATGTTTAAGTCTCAAAATATTTGCACATAATTAAAAAATTATGAATACTAATAAAGAAAAGAGCTTAAATGTCATTAACGTAACTGAAGAGATAATAATCTCATATGATAATGATATGTCGCATGTTTTCAATAAACGCCATTAAATTTTTAAAAACATTTAAACTTCCTCACTCGATTAGCAAACAAAAAAAAATACCTCATACTTTTGAAATTAATACATAAATTATTTCTTTTCTTCTTCCGACAATTGACAAAAGTGTTGAAAGATGTTAATGCGCGTTGCCCTCTCCATATCGTCTCGTATTTTTATATTCTTATATTTAAATTTCATTTCTTGCGTTTCGCTTATGATGCATTTAAATACCTACATCCATCTATCCATTATTGACTTTTAGCACACAAATTTATACCTTAATGCCTTTATGTGTCTTCCCTTCGCAGTAATAATGTATGTACATTCGGTTATACACATATCGATATGGCATGTGGAAATAAAAACAAAAGAAGAAGTAGAGGAAAAAAATTATTGAGTAAACGCTTTATGATTTCATTTATTTATTTTTTTCCGTCTTTCATGTTTATATCGTTATGGGAATGGGAATGGAAGAGCACCTCTTTACAATGTACATTTTTGTATTTTCGACGACGCACTCAAGTTATCAGTTGTGATTGAGAATTCAAAGTGGAAACATAGTAGCATTACTATATTATTGTGTTCATGTGACATAATCCTTTGAGTGACATTAGCTTATTATCATTTTGCAAATACAACAGTAGCAACGACAATACCAAGTCGTGTGTGATTTCAGCAATACGAACAAGAAAAAGCAACGAAGAAAATAACGTTGTGCAAGTGTACGAACAGCACATTTCACATTTAATGTAAACACGATTTTCCCTCAATAAAACATCGCATTACATTTCGTGCAATGCCACATGTAACAGAGCAACAAAGAAGCAACACAGAAACAAAAAAATATCACAGATGAGAAAAATACATGAGCAATTTTTCAAAGGAAAGTTATTCTGTGTTTGTAGATAGAAACGAGCAGACAGGATAAATGTTTCGTCTCGTAATCAACTATCTTATACGACGATCACATTAATGGAGTTTAATTCTACATTATGTTATTTTTATTTCATCTTTCAAATTAATCAATCGAAAACAAACTAATTGATACTAAAAGTGTGTTGATACTTGAACTTATTCTGTTCACTTCGCGCGGTGGATTAAGTGAAGTTTAATTATTTACACTCGCAGTGATTATATGAAACGAAAACAACATTTTAAAAAAAGTATTTAAAAATCAATAATTAAGAAAAAAATTCAGTGTGCTGAAACATCTTCAAAAAAAAAAGATCTAATCATGTAGAAGAAAAAAGATGCGAATACTGAAACATTAGTGATAAATAAATTCGAATTAATTCATATGCCATAGAATAGGATTATTAAAAGCCAAAAATCAAACGATTTCTAATTTTAAAAATATACAAAACGATGAAAATGCAATTAAAAAAGCAATTATTTGGATTAAGTCTTATAATAAGTCTTCTAATATCAAACTGTAGGTGTAATGATATCATAAATGTTGGGTAGGTATCATTTATTTAAGTGTTGTCTTATAAAAAGTCACTCCTTTTAAAATAATCTACAAAATTCTATCTTTCTTTCGTTAAACGATTAGTCGTTGTTTGACTCACAAATAAAAGATAATTAACTATTACTTAAAAATTGATGACTTCGTTAGTCAAAAATACACAGCGACTGTCGATGACTTAATTTTTTAAGCGGTTTTTATGATCTAAAATATATGAATTAATGTGTGCTACTTTAAAATAATGAAAAAATAAAGCGACTATGTTGAGTTTCTGAAGATTTTTTTTTATTTCAAGTACTGCCAGTTTAAGATAAATTAATGAGTTCAATTGAATGTCTGAAGAATTAAAACTCAAAAATTAATATTTATTCATTAAATTTGAAATTGCTAATCTGTGCTATATTTCTTAGAAAATTTTTAAATTAGAACAAAAATTCCGTGTGCTAGTTTTAACACCAAATGTTCTGCTTTATTTAAATTTTTATAACCTTATTCTAATCAGTGTTAAGTTTATTAAAATCAACTATTCTTAAACCTTTTATAGCACTTTTAAAAGTATAAAGTACTTTTTATATAGTTACGGCGACACTAATGTTATCCTAATTCAGTCTGTTGTAAATTTAGTGGGTCGAGCACGCAGTGTCAAAGAGCCTCGTTTGAAACACATTTATAAAAATAAAAGTGAATTTAAGCAAGTTAATATAGGTTCTGTTCCAAATAAAAATTCGACATTCTTATCAATAAAATTCAGAATAAATCTCAATTACACACTTTATATACACAAAAATGAAAAATCCAAAAAAGAAATGTAATCAAATAAATTTTCAGCTTTTCACCCCCTTCACAATAAAATTTTCTTTACCCTGAATAATGCAGTATAACATTACTTTCACCTTTCACTCCTTTTGCAATTGTTTCAAAATATAAGATATAACTATAAAAGTTGGCACCAAACAAGTAGCATAAGTCAGGATGCGTACAGTTTTAATGCAACACTAAAAGTGCGAGAGAATAAAATCTTATGATATATTGTCATAATTCCCCCACAAAAAATGTTTCTGAGTTGTTTACACACACAAAATCCTCTTTTTATGGTAATTTACAACAAAAAATAACAATAGCTGTAGATGCAAAAAGGAGGGAATACAATGTTATGAAGGGAGAAGTTGATGACATTGAACCCTTATTCATTGCATTCAACAGGAATGCATAAATAAATTAATCAAATCTTGAACACTTATATTCTTCAATCTCAATTTTTTTTATCTCAATAAATGCCAATTATCAGGAAATAATTTATTCAATTAGTGCATTCATTACAATTCAAAAATGATTTATTAATGATTATCTTCTCTTTTTAAGAAATTTATATATTTTTTACATTTTTTTATATAGACTGGATTTATTTACTATTGAGTAGGATAATTAAGAGAAAATGGTTTGAAAATATTTTATTAAACTTAAAAGCTTTTAACATTTAAAAACACTTGATAAAAGTTAATAATATAAATAAATCTTACAATCATCTATGAATTTAATCAAAAAAGCAAGTGTTCAAGTGTTGCTAAACTGCTTAAAAAACAATAAATTGGGCTTTTTTATATAATTTTTTTTTTGTTTTAAAACTTTAAAATTTTGTAAAGACAAATTAATAAAATCCCATTTTTCTGATAGCTCGTTTATTTTTTAAAAAAAAATAGAGACATTATTAATTTTTTTCTCGAAGACAACAAAATCTTTGAAAACCAATCAAACCTAAAATAGATCTTAAAATTTGAATTCACGTTCATACATATTGCATTTTTGCGAACAGTTTTAGACCACACTTCATCTCAAAGAATTTAATTTAATATCACGACAAAAGTATTATGCGACTCATGCTTGAAAAATTGCAGTTTTTATCAAGTTATTTACACATTTTAGTCGCGATCATTATCATGCTAATTTGTGGTCAATTTTCTATGCATTTATGATGTGACGAAAGTGAACTCTTGTTAGTTTTCTACCTCAAGAATTTTTAAATCACGAATTTTATAGTTAAAGCTTAAAACGTGCTTTTTATTATTATTTTAAATGAAGTTATATTGAATGTAATTAGATTACTATTTTGTCAAATTCTGTAAAAATGAATTTGAATTAAAATTAAAATTTCAAACTAGTGCTTAAAGTTATAATTTTAAACTGATTTTACGCAAAATTTAAAATAAGCAAGTTGTTGAAAATCTGCTAGTTTAATAGATACAGTGTTTGCTGTTCATTTTTATCAAGGTGTGGAAACTATCCCGAATTAAAATACAATATCCCAAATATTTCAAAAATATCCAAAATAATCTCTGAGTCTATATACACGATAATAAAGATATCTCAAAGTATCCTTAGTGTAATGAAAATATAATTTTAGGATTCGTTAGGATATTTTTATTGTCATGTATACAGGCTAAAGGGCTATTTTTGAGATGCTTGGAATATTTGAAATTAATGAGATATTTTATATAGTTTTGACGCCTTGATTTTTATCCTGCTGAAGAAATAATCATCCATCCAAAAGAAGCTACATTTGCAAAAAATGAATTGTAAATAACACTTATTATGTGAAATTTGGGATTAAACTATATTAAATACTTTGCATCAACTGCTATCCGATAGCACTCATTTTCATCTTTTTGTCATGGTTTTAATGATAAGATAAGATTTTTAAAATGTTCAAACTTCAGTATTCGAGAACGAAATTAAGGTCCTTGTTACAAACTCAAAATAAAAATTCACTTTATTTTTCAAAGTAAGTGAACTTAACATTGTGCACAAAAGAGTTCAGTACAAATAACTATATGATTTCAAGTTTGAATAAGAAATGACCAAAATTTACTTCGCACATTAAAATTAATTATAGCCAGTTCACCAGAATAAACGAATAAGAAAGTACAAAATATAAAAGAATATTTTAAATGTTTGTTCTATTTTTACATAATATAAAAATTATTCACGGTTGCTATCTCGAAAACGAATTATTAAATAGAACTGGAGTTACAAAAATAAATTTTTGCTTTGTGGTCTCATCTTTTCATAATACATAATCGTTGAAATAATTCATCGCCATTGTTTGTGTGAAATATTTCTTCTGTATTTGTGCTTGACTCGTTTTAAAGAACATTTTTCAAGTTCATATATGAATCTGTTTCAATGGTAATGAAAATTCCGTCTGTTTCTCCATCTTTCATATGTGTACATAAATATACGTCTTCTTTTTTTACAAAATATTCGTAATTACATTTTAACAAAAAGCACACCTTTGTCCAAGAAGGCAATAAAAAGAAGCAACGAAAAAAGTTAATTGCATTCATAATTGCTTGAAGGTAAAGAAATGAAATTAAATTGCATATGAAAAGAGTCAAGCAAAAAAAAGTGGAAGATGGTATGAGACTTGTAAGACTCATTCCTCTTTGTAAGAAGTCAAAATGTGTAAACCAGAAAATTAAATAGTAATATGTTTTTCTCTCATTTCGGCAACTCTTTATGTTGGCTTTTTTTCAATCGCACAAAACCGTAAAGTCATAAAATGTATCAAAAAATTAATAAATAATACATGTGTGTTTTGTATCAGTTGTGCATCAACAATGAATGTGTGGATGATAGAAGAAGGCAAATGTGTGAATCTTGTTAATTTTTATGGAAGTAGTTCAGGTATGAACAGAAGGTTTCTATTCTCTCAAAAAAAAAAATCTTAACACTATCACGTGGTCGATGTCGCACTTAACGGAAATTTTAAAACGTTGAAATTCTACTACCTACTCTAGATTTGCTTATGAATATTTCATAACCGTTAAAAAAAATAAGTAATGCATTTTAAATACTGTGTGGATGTGTGGATGTGTGGATGTGTATCATTTTTAACAAATAATAATTGATGGTAATTTTGTTTTTAATAAAATTGATTTTTAAATTAAAAATTGAAAATTTTGTGTGAATGAAATTCTATGCATCACTTAAAAATAAAAAAGGGTTAATCGACATGGAAACTTCATAATTAAGCTTTTATTTTGCCTTATTTAAATTCATCCAGAATTCCGTGTAAACGTTTTCAAAAAATATGACAAATGTATAAAAATTCTGTATTTCATCAAAAGTTGTTGGTAAATGTAGGTTTTTTATTTCAACAATTATTTTTGAGTCATATATGCAAAATTACAGTTTATGGAGAGTCGAAGATTTAAAAATCTAATATAGATTCAAATTTATATGAAAGGATATGATTATTTATATTAATATTAGAGGCTTTAATAACCAAATAAAAATCTAATTTTTTGATTGTATTCAACGTCATATTGCAGTGAGAAGACAGAAATTGTACCGACAACGTTACTTCTTCCTACAATAGCAACAACAGCAACTACATTATCAACACAAATGGTATTAGAAAAAGACTCAACGGAGCAAATGAATTATAAAAATATTGTAATGTCACTATATGTACCAGTTACAAAACTAGGACCATGTCGTTATATTGATGGTACACGTAAACAAAACCATCAGTGTAGAAGAGACCCTGGATTAGCGGATGCACTCAGGGATGCAAAAAAAATTGCAATGAGCCATTGTGAAGAACAATTTAAATTTGATCGATGGAATTGCTCGATTGAGACGAAGGGAAAACGAAATATTTTTAAGAAGGTAAGATCGATATTTTTTTTCAACGATTCTTGCAAGATTCCAATAAATAAATTCCATAATGTAACAGGTTTACAAAGAAACTGCATTTGTTCATGCTCTAACAGCGGCAGCTCTCACTTATCAGATATCTCGAGCATGCGCTGAAGGTAAAATGTCACGATGCCAATGTGCAACTGAACGTCGTCCTGCAATAACTGATGCTACCGGTGCAAAAAAGTTTCAATGGGGTGGATGCAGTGACAATGTGAAGCATGGAAAGCGTGTAGCACGTAACTTTTTAGAGTTACAACCAATTGACACTGATGGTGATGAAATTTTTGAAATTTTGCGACATGATGGTGAAGTTGGAATAGCTACATTAACTGGTGATATGGAAAATAAATGCAAATGCCATGGTATGAAAATAAATTACTTTTCTGGTTTGTTAACATTTAATTTTATTTTTATAATTTTTAAAACTTCTTCAGGTGTTTCGGGGAGTTGCTCAATGAAAACATGTTGGCGAAAGTTGAGTGATTTTAACGCAACAGCAGCTGCATTGCGAGTGAAGTATCATCAAGCACTCAGAAAAATTTCATATGCTAAAGCGTCACGTCGTGCCGCGAAACGAGAACAACGAGAACGAGTTGTGACGATTGGAACAGGCTTCAATGGGAGAAAAAATTTTGGTATTCTTGAGAGCACTGATCCTGACTACGAGACATTATTTTATCTTGAGCAGTCACCAACGTTTTGTGCACTCACAAAAGGGCGCCAATGCAGTAGTCCAGAAAATTGTGCAACTCTTTGCTGCGGACGTGGTTATACCACGCGCGTCATTAAGCAAGTGGAAAAATGTAAATGTCGCTTTTCAAATGGCCGTTGTTGTACAATCATTTGTGATTATTGTGAGCGATATGAAGATCGATATTACTGTAAATAAATGTCATAACTTGGTTTTAATATCACTTTTTGAGTAATGAAAATTTGTCAGTTGGAAATTGTGGACAATATAAATGATTTATCAAATTCAACTAATGATAGTCATTGAGGACAACAAAATATGCTTTCCTTTTTATAATTTTTACAGTTTGATTTAATTACACGCTTTTTCAAATTAGTCAGCAAAACACATGGATTGAATATTTTAGTAAATTCCAAATTATGCGTCACGACACACCAGTTAATCGCAAGAATCTCTAGTTATGTCTAGCTGTGTCACAAGATTTTTCATGAATGGCCAAATAAAACCTATTTTTGTATTAAAGCTTCAAAAAAATATCGCAAAACTCATTTTTGAAGTTTGGAAAAAATCGCCAATTAAAAAGGAGTATTGTTCTTAAACTGATATTTTAAAGTCAGTATTGATTAATGAAAATTAATCTTTAGATTATTTGTTAAACATCAAATTTAATTTTGTGAATATATTCATATCCTTCCTAAGGAGTTTTTAATATTTTTCAGAACATAAATTTTATTTAAATTTTACAAAATAATTCTGTAAGTTTTCCAATTGCATAATTAAGATTAAGAATAATTTTAAAAACTCTGCAAGAAGCTCAATTAAAAAATAAAATTTCGTATTTTAAATATTTAAAAATTGAAAATTAAGCATCTGTGTGCGAATTTTTTGAAAAAATACTGATTAAAAAGATAACAAACTGCTAAGAATAAATAAAAATTCACACGTTTAATAAATGGTTCTTCAACTTAGTGTCGATAACCGTCAACGAATTGTTTTCATACATTGAAATATTTGCTCCTAATAAAAGTTTATATAGTCCATCAATTTGTATAAGCACCACAACATTAATATAAAAGTTAAGGAAGTTTATTTGTGAGAACTACTTTTAAGTTTATACAATCCAAGCTTAAAACGAACAAAGAAAATCTGAAGAGTTTTTTAAATACCTATATACACATTTACATGTCCTAATCATCATGATATCAAAATTTTAACTCATTAATTTCATCACGAATTATTTCTCTTGTCTATATTGCACAATTTGTGCAATTCACTTCAAATGCTCAATAAATTAATAATAAAAAATATTTAAAATGCTATTAGATGTAGATGCTTAGATTATAGATGAAACTTTTCCCATTTTGTAGCCGTATCTAATCATTAAAACTTTAAATCTTTTGTATTACATACGCATGAATGCTTCTCGTAACTTTATAATGAGAAAAATGCTTTTATTAATTTAATAAATAAAGTAAACAAATTCTTAGAATGTGAATGTAAGTAAGGAATGAAAAAAAATGAAATAAAAGTTTATTATTAATTGAAAAAAGTGAATATTTAATTTTTACGAAACTTAACAATTATCATTAACCTCATCACAGATTAAATGATATTTTAGATCAAAATTAAGGAGTTATTAACTTGTTCATCATTTGAAGAGAACCATTTAAACTGTCTTTTCACTAATCTTAATGCATGAATATTTATCACATCCATGCTGTCTAGAAAACAACAGACGTACACGTGACAATGCATCTGATGAATTAGATCATTTTGCCGGTTATATTACATTTTGAAATATTTTAGAATTATGAAGATATTGAACTAATATCGATTTGGATTAGAGAAGATGAATTGGTCGATCTGGATATATCAGAGTAAATCTGAGTTCTTTTATACCTTAAATTTTTTAGAGAATATTGAATTAAAAAGGTAGCGATCAAACTTCAAACTAGCTTATACACTTCCCAAAAAAAATCAAACTAAGTGGATAAGATGTCTATTTATAAACAACAGTCTATTTATACTTATTATTTGTATCATTACATTGGGAGTAGGTGAGAAAATTCTATACAAAAGATAATTTTCATTGTATTCATAACATTAAAAAAAAATCTCTCACTTATGACTGCCGAAATAAAAAAAAACAACATTTATTTTGATTATTGAGAAGTCACTCTCATGCAACGCATTTTTATCCCCCCTTTTTAAAATTCTCTCTGAAACGTGATCAAACGCATATTGTGCGCAAAATCATTCAATTCTCCTCGTATTCATCCATGAAAACCGTACATTTTCATTAAGTAAACTCTTATGCCCTTTTCCTGATTTCGGCACTCATCGTTGCTGTTCCATTCTGCTTTTTCGTTTCGGAGATTTAATCAATTTCTTCTCATTCTGTGCAAGCTTCTTAAAGTGTTTGCATCTGTTTTTCATCTTTTCATAGGCTAAAGTAAATTAAAAGTTTTATTTTAAGTTCTTTAAATGGAATTTTTTTGATATTTGTTAAGTTTAATCATAACGATAGGACAATATTATAACTCCAGCTATTTTATTAGTCAAATTTTTTAGTAAAAATTAAAGCAAATTAACGAATAGTGAAAAAAATTGTTGTATATTTTGAAAAAGTGAAAAAAAAATAATTCTTTTTAAAATTAGCTCATGCATGCACAGTTAGGTGCGCGTATTAACTAAAAGTGGAAAATATGAAATTTTAAAAATAGCAAAAGTGAATTTAAATGAAAAGTTACTTCAAGAGTTGAAAAATAAGCACATCAAAAATTATTTATATAAGCTAGGGGAAGAGCAAAATTGGAGAAAACTTTATTGATTTTTTCTTCTTGTTCTGAATATTACTGTGTATAAAGAGAAGAAACATTTTCGGGTGTTCTAGCACATAAAGGTTATAATTTCTAAACTGTTGAGTAATTAATTTAGTGCATTTAACTATGATTATAATTTGTGAAAATAAATTACTAAAGCAAAAAACTTAAGGAAAAAAATTATAAATTTCTGATACAAGAAACGAACAAAAAAAAATTGGTAAGTAAATAAATTTTTTTCGATGCTTCCTTTTTTTACGGGTTTCAATTCATTTTCGTTTAAAAATGTTTACAAACTTTGGATTTGTGAATACAAACAACATGTTGATTACTTTAGCTGAAGTCATCAAGACAAATTATTAACCACAAGTGATTAAAACTCAATATTTAAGAAGAATATAAACAGTAAATTTCAATTTCATATTGATAATGTAATGCAGCTTAGCAACTTTAAAGGAAAATATTTATTCTTTTGACAATGTTTTAATGTTTTTAAAAAGGTTTTCATTAAAAAAGATATAATTAAAAATAATAATAATGTTTTATGTTAGATATTTTCAAATAGTAATATAATTGATGAGAAATAGTGGAAGTTTATAAAACATCATTTCTATCATAAAATAAAAGTTTTTCCGACCTAATTAGTGTGCAAAAAAACTTATTAAATTGCAATTGATTAAAAATTGTTTTTGACATATATCATCAAATTAATTGAAATAAATGTAATTGAGTTTATATTTAGCAATTTACTTTTATAAGTGTTCATTAACATTAAATATAAACATCATTGATTTTATCATAATCTTCTATATACATATATTTATCGGCACCCACAACAGTGCCAAAACAGAAAAAGAATTAAGATTTTTTTTTTGTATGAATCATGGAAAGTTCTAGAAAATTCTACGGCTAATAAAACATAATATTTTAGAAATCAAACATTTCAAAATGTTGCTAAATTTGTCTAAAATCGAATAAATAGCTGAAATAAATCTGCATCATTTGGAAACTCATGATCTAATTTTCATTAGACTCAAGATATATTATGCAGAGAAATCAATATAAATTTGGGTATATTAACCGCCTGCTGAACCAATATACTTTTCAAGCTCCCTTATTCAATATAATGAGAAATGTTTGATGTACGTTGTCTTCATTCCTAAAAATATGCGCATGTTATCATCACCTTTACCTTCGCTGTTGATTTTAGATTTAAGGTTGATAAATAATTTATGAATAATATTTCAATTGTGTAGGCAAAAATAATGTTCATAGCCGCTCTGTTCAAATAATATTCAGTATGCCATACTATACCAGATCTTCTTATCGAATAATCTCCATAAATCAAAAAAAAAAATGTGCGAATTATTTTAAATAATTAAAATTATAAATTAGTTTTACTCTTGAACTATGTATCCTTATTAAATGTTTCATATTTAATTAAAAAATGTGACCAGCCAGAGGAATTTTTTTGGACGAAAAGCTTGCGAAAAGCTGGAAAAAATCATTGCTGATAATGACAGCAAATATTAAAATTGCATATGAGACAATTGATAGGCATATGCATATTATTCATACCCGCCATTCATTTTCTATTAAATATTCTTATTTATAGAAAAATGTAATGAATTGGTAAACATCAAGAAAGCTGCAAAAGATTTATTAGGAATGTCCATTAGCTTGAAGTATTGATAGAGTATCATCATATAAACTCAATAAACCCATTCGATCGAGAACTTTCCTCACTCACAAAGCATTATAAGTACTTGCATTTCCGATTGAATCTTCCAATACAAATGATAATTCGACATTGATTCCGATGAAATGAGATTGAGGTCTAGAGCTCAAAATAGCCTTCAATATCTTAATTGTAATGCTCACTCATTGTATTTCTTGGTATTGAATTTTAGCACAAATTTATTTACTTACTTACTTCTCGAGATATATATTTGTTTTGATTTTCAATTATTCGCATAAAGACTTTCAATAAATTTTCCTCTCAATTACTGTTTTCTTCATTACTTTATGGTATTTGTATATTTATAGAGAAATTGTTTTGTCATTAAAAATAAATCTGAGATGTGATTAATAGACTTTTTGAAATTAATAATATGAAAGCTGTCATTAATCAGTGGCACTGATTCGTTCCAAATAGAAACACGAATAATCCTTTTACTGTCTTACTTGTTAGTAGGTGGTGTAATATTTGCGGATATGTATTAGTAAAATAAAATAATTGAAAATAAATAACTTAAAAATTGAACTTAATATTGAATTAAAAGTAAGAAATAACTTTGGAGAAAAGGGTTAAATAACGATCCTCAAATAAAGATGTGTAATATGTGATATACACATGCATAGCATAATTTAATTGAAAAGTGAAAGCTTTAACACATATAAAATAATAATTATAATTTGTAAATGACACAATCTAGAATTTTCCCAACAATTATTGTATTTAATTTTTTTGATGAACAATATCTACGAGTATAAGTGTGAAATGCAAAGAAATGAAGTAGAAAAATAATGATGACCTTGAGGAAGAAAAAAAACATGTTTTCCCCTCTCAAGCCGAACTTCAATTGTTGCCAGGTCATAGTAGATTTTATGTATACAACGTGCCTCGTAAAAGATTCTTAAATGAAAAGAAAATTATTTTCAAACACATTCCATTCATAATGATTTTTTTCATTGACGCATCTTGAAAAGATTAATTTAGGTAACAATTTCATAGAATTTAAGATCATGATTGATGTGTGTAAATATCATTACAAAATTTTACTTCCAAGTTCAAAAAGTTCTATTGTCTGGTTTATTTTTTTGACAATGAAAACACGACACAGTTTATGATATCTCACTCCTTTCTTAGGTAATTTTATATAAGATGCAATTTGTGTTTCTATCATTTGATATCAAGGATTAAGATGAACTTTCTACAATTATTTAAATATAATAGACATCTGACATCAATAATAATAGATCAAGACAAATTAATCAATAAACCAAAATTTTAAATGAGTATGGCAACAATTATGGTAATTTTATATCCATACAAAGGATCTAAATTTAGGAACTACTCGAAACTAAATGACCCGATAAATTTAATCATTAATCAATGTTTAGATACCAAATTTGTTATTTGTTATCGATTTCACATGAAATCTGATAAGCTGATAATCAAACCAGGCCTAAAAACATTTGTATTCTATAAGACAGATCAAATAATTGTACATTTATTTACTTATTTACTTATGATTAAACACAATCCGAATTTACTTAAAGTTATTTTTAGAAGTGATATCTTAAACAGAATCATATGAAATTAATCAAATTAACTTATAAAGATTAAATTGATGCTAATGAATAAAGTTCATAACCATATCCTTGAATAAACAAAAGTTCTTCGAAAGCAAAAGGAACTAGACCTTCAAAAATCAGCATATTTAGCAGAAAAAATAAACACGAGGATGTTATTTACTTGTTGATCAAGATAATTCTAAATTTAGAGATCTTTTATGCTCCTTAAAAATCGTAATTGTACCTCAAATTAATCATAATCAATATCCACAACATTTTAAGATTAAAATTTCAAATCGCAATTAAATTTGTAAAGGAATCTTTTGATCATATATGATTTTTTTTATAGTAAATTTGTCTTTGAGCCAGATCTCAATGTCGATAGGGTCAACTCGAGTCGACTTCGAGCTCTGCTTTGAGCATTATCAAACTTACTGATCAATCAACCTTACTTGTGTATTTTTGCCTATTTTATTATATCTTTGTTATTTTACGAAAAAATTTCTTCCGCTTGGAATTGTTCCAACGATTCTCATTTAAAGTCGAGCCAATGTGTATCTGTTCCTGAATGAAATTTACCAGGAGTATTTTTCTACACAAATACAAATGCAACTAATGTCAATGAACGAAGAATTCTTTGTTCAATATAAATGCGAATCATGCTTTGGAATTTTCGTACTCTCCTTGCATGAATGAATATTTCGTTTGATCGATTTTTGAAATTCATTGAACTAATTCAAAGGAGTCGTGTTGAAATCTGCAACTTTTTAACTTCCTGTGTGGTTTTCATGGCAACAGTTTCAATCAATATTCAAGCTAATTAGATTTAATTTCAAAACTATTAATTAAATTTAAAAGTTTTCGAAAAAAAATTTTTAAAATTTTTGTCGATTTTTTTCCAACATAATCAGCATGTTAATTAATCATATCCAAAACCACAAATTATTATAAACAAAACTCTCATCATTGAAAATAAAGAGAAGTTTCTCACTTATGCAAACTGGAATATTTTTTTTAAAGTAAAATAGACCACAAAGTATGCATTATGTACATATACATCTTAACACCAGACTTTTACAAACACAAACATAATACTGGAAACTCGACTCCTTGGTTGTTAATTCAATTCTCCAATGAGCAATTTTAGTTTACCACGCGACTTTATAAGCGCCTGTCACGTTCTAACATAAAAATATTTTTGTCTATTAGCAATTGTGCAATTAAATTAAATGGATTTAAATTAATGAATAATGTGTTATAGAATATTTAACTAAAGTGAAATCAAATGAATGGTGACTTAAATTCCTTTTCATATGACATTTCCTGAAACAGAAACTGATTAGAGAACAGATCTTTGCATCAATAAAAAATTATTGAAATAAAATTTTGCACTCTATTTAAGTAAACAAATTTGCATGCATTCATTCAAATTCCAAAAAATGTTTACACAATTAGAGTTCTGCATCTTTCAAAATTGTTATATTTTAAAGCAACACCTTAACAATAGTTTAACGTTATTTAAATATGGATTATATAGGAACCATTTGTAAAAATGGGGATAGAGGTCAAAAAACTAGCTGGCAAGGTTTAACAACAAAAAATATTACATTTTAATAAATAGTCTAATTGAACTTTTCAGGAGATAAATCTTCTTTAGAGGAAACTCCTTTAGCACAGATATTATTGTTAATAAAAATTAAACAACAATCAAAGTACAAACGTGGATTTAAATATAGATTAAGTTCGAGTCTTTTATTCACAGCTGTTGCATATTTATAAATAGTTGTGTCAATCGTAAAAACAAGGATAACCCATCCGAATCATGAAATACCATCATTAAAAGAAATCAACAAAGCATGCTGTCAATTACAATCAGTATATTATTATTGAACAAGTAATTTTAATAAGAATTAGAGGTTTTAGAACTTTTAAATCTTTGAAAAAATTGTGGCAATAATTCAATCAGATATAGCTTCAATGCAAAAATTTGAATAAAAAAGAAAACAAGTAGCATGATATGATAAACAAGAAATCAGAAATTCTATTAGCCAGGGAATTATTCACTCATGATGTCCAACATTTGCAAAGATTAGTCATGAAATGTGCATGCATTTTTATGAGAACAAAAATTTAAAATTTTAAAATTTTTGACAGGGAAAGTAAATGCTTTTTATATTATGTTACTCTATCAATATCATTTTTGAATGAACCTCAAAAGATATGCATTGATTTCAAAATCGCTTTGTCGAATTTCATCAGATTTTTGAAATCTTTTGAAGAGCATCAGAGATCATTAATAGCTTTTTTTATTCATCATATTATTTTCATCTTTTTTTACGAAAAAAAAAACGGATACAAAAATTAGTTTCTTGTTACTGGTTTTTATAAAATCTAAATTTACAATTGAATACTTAAAATGTGAAAAAATAATTTACACGATTAAAGTTTTTGTTCAACAAGTTTAAAGTTTTACCCAATAACAACATATTTAATGCTAAAACCTCCAATAATTTATAATTGAAAAAAAAATCTGTCAATTATGAAATTTTTATGACATGATATTTATTTTAAGGTTTTTAAATTTTTTAATTCATTTTAACAAAAACGTTTCAACACAATTTTGTGAATTGATACAGCAAATTATATTATTTCTCTTGACTCTGAAAACAAAAAAGTTACCAGACAATTGAAAAGTTATTTATAAATTGGTCTAAAATTGTTTTATCAAACTATCAAATTATTGAATTGTTAAAGTGCGAGAAATAGGCTTTGACGGGTAGTTTTGTTCCTTTACAAATAATCAAAACTTCCGTTGTAGTTACAAGGAAGTTGTGAATTAAACTTACATCCCAGTTATTCAAATATACAAATGTCACTCACAGCAAACTAGTAACTTATGACTCATTTTACATCCTTTGTGTTTCTTTGTTTAAAGTAAAAAAAAGTTTTTGTTGGATTATTTATATTGTGGAGTTAGTTTTTCCTGATTTTCATATGAAATATTATTAACATCAAATTTGGAATCTGAAAGTGAATTACACATAAATTATATATTTATTTAAATCCATATGAGCGAAATTAATAGACAAACATTTCATGCACTTCAGTTGTCAAGGTTAAATTCAATTTCTTTTTGCAAGCACATGCATGGTTAGGATCAAAGTAAATTAACTGGCGCCACTATATAAATTCATAATTTCACATGATTACAGAAATGTTTATTATTATAGTACACCAAATGATTACTGTAGTTTCATTGAGTTTTATGCGCTCTTTCCTTGATACTTTTTATTAAATTGTCGGCATTTTGATGCACAAGTTTTAATAAATTTTCCAGACTTAAATTTGTGAAGTTTCTTAAACATACAAATATAGCTTGATTTATATTTTTTTTTCCAAAGACGAAAACCTGTCACAAGTCATAAGTCAGAAAAAAAACATTCTATTTTTTCATCATATTCTAAGACCCTTGCCTACCCATTGCTAGTTTTTTTTAACATTAAAAAATATATATCTTATTTTAAAAACTGAAATATGAGAATAAGTTCTAAGCGCTCCTCCAAAATATGACTTCAATTTGTCAGCAAGCAGATGATGAATTACATATTGGAAGTGATTAAACACTCAAAATAAATGCACACAGAATTGAGAATTCGAGAGAAAGAGAATTCCAACCCAATGTGAATACTGAAAGTTTGTCTCTGCATACTTGTGTTTATTTTCTCTGCTCGCTGCTGATTTCTGTTTCTGTAGGTTTCTGTCTGATTATAATAACACACGCTTACATATGCTCACTCATTCCATTGCCCTCTACAGTCATATGAAAATTTATTCACAATATTATTTTAGTAACGATTTCATAGTCGCCGCGTCAACAGTCATTCTGAAGTAAGACGATTCGTATACGAGAAACTCAAAAATATAAAAAGTTTTGTTTTTGTTATTATGGCACATTGACTTCCTTGCACCTCATTCCACTCTTTTAGTGCTATTCTCGTTTACATACTTTTAAGTATTGTGGAGTATTGGAGACCACAAATTAATAGAAAAATTAAATTGTAAAATATACAATCAAGTCTGTAGGATTAACAAGGGTCTCTGTATGTCTACTGATAAATTCCGCACAAAAGTGTTAATTAATTGATCGAATCTTCAGTCAATGTTTTAGATACTTTTTGAACTGAAAAATTACCATCCAATCAGTAGGATTTACTTTTTACATATAAATTGTTTACAGTTGGATTCCTTATCAGCATTGACGAAGTTTATGTAGTTCAAAAAATGAATATTATGAATACAAACATCTGACAAAAAAATCATCACAACGTTGCTACTTGAATATCATATTTTCAACAGATGTAAAAGAAATTATTTGTGTATAAAATAAAACAAAAAAATGTGTTCATAACTGACCTACGAATTCAACAAAAACAAAGACATAAAATGACATTCAATAAGTGATCGAAAAAATTCAATAACATAAAAATTAAAACAAAAAAGGAAAAGTGACGCACGTTTCAGTTAAACAGAAGAAATTGTGTGTGATAGTATAAATCTTGTGATAATAATAGTCAACAACAATTGTAAATAAATAGAATAAATAATCATGGATCATCATCACAAACGAAGCAGCAAGTAAGATTAAAAATTATTTGATCTTGATAATGAAAAATAAAATGCACACGACACAATTTGTTATTTATATAATTGTCTCCTCGTTTTGCAAGCTCTTCTTATAAGAATAAACAAAAAGAATTTTTTTTTAAAGCTCATACAAATGAAACAAATTGTTTTCATGCTTATTTTATCATTTTTGATAAGTCACTGTAAATATAAAACTGTATCACTTTTTGATTATCAATACGATGTCAACTATTTGCTTTGCTACCATTGAATAGTATTAGGAGCCTGCCAAAACTGGTTTCTCGGTAAACTTTGAAACAAATCATCCTTTAGGATTTTTTCATAATACATGTGTTGCATGCATAATAGCTTCCGAAGTCCAAATCAGAGCTGAGAAGTCAAAACATCAATATGTCAGCTCATTGTTACTTGACTATTTTTGGCTTTTCTCATGTAGAATGTTTCAATTCTTCTCAAAAGAGTTGAATATTTTGGAAAATGGCATTTCAACTCATGATTGTTTGGATATTTTTTGATTTAAATTTAAAATTAATGTCTTTTAATTATTAGACAAACTTACGCTTTTTCTAACATACAAATATCAGTACAATTTTTCAAATATTAATTGCAATTTTTTGCATCGAAGCTGTCAGATTGAAAAGTAATTACAGATTTATTGAAATTAATTTTTCTATATTTAAATAATGTTATTAAATTATAAGTAGGATGATAAATGAAACCTGAATTTAGCCTAACGTATTGCCAAAAAGACACAACCTGTGGTGAACCTGAGAATCTGCCCTATAAAATGCTAAATACCTTTTTGATTCACTTGAATTTATTCAAGTCAATAAGTATACAATGAAATTTAGCCATTTATCATTAAAAAACAGTAGTTCACACTTAATACAATCTACATCTACAGCAATAAATTATTCAATATTGTAAATTCTCGCTTGCACCTGTTTGTTTTTTCTTTTTTCTTTGTTACACTATTATTGTTCTTCTAAATATTCTCATTTTATTGCAATTCACATTTGAATAATTGTTGTAAACTTTAAACATCACAAAAGCGTGTGAAATCTTATCCGATAAAAATATTTTCATATTATGTATACAATAATTTATTCAAGAATCTAGAATATTGTTAAAGTTTGTCATCAATATTTAACGCTGACATATATCAAACAATAAGATAAGACTATCTTGTCAAAGGAAAATTTACGACAAATTAATTGACTCATTAAGATAAAACTGCACATTTTTTCCATGGCATTAATTGATCTAAATTTTTTCAATGTGTACTTGACACTACATTCCATAGCAAAGTCTTGAAACTATGTAGATATCATCGATCCATATCAAATCGTAACTTTCATGAATTTTTCTCGAAGCTATTCTCTTCACAGTTTGTGAGAATTTAGAATAGTGTTGAAGTAACCTCAATCTAAAAGTCTCTAAAATGCAGCTACCCTAAAATGCAGATAGTACTGTCAAGATCCAGATGGTGCTGCTAAAGTGCAGATGAAATTTATTTTCCCTAAAATGCAGATGAAATGCTGTTGCTTTAAAAAAGGTATAACGCAGATAATTTTTATCGTATAAAGTGCAGATAAGATGCTGCCTAAATGTAGATCGTATAGTTTCATTAAAATACATCAATATTCGATGACTTTTTTTCTTGATGCGTGATAATGACTTTAAATGATCCATGATGAAATTTAAGGGTAATTATTTTGTCTGACGACATATTTATGTATATATTGGGTCGAGTATCCTTTTTATGAGCTCATCTATATATCTTGCAAAAATGTTACATGTCGTTTAACAACAAAACTAGTGTATCGGGTAGAAACCCAATGCGGATATATTCGCACCGTACCATCAAAAGTCTTATGGATAGACAGAGATTTGTTCAGCATAAGTTTGAAGGTATAAATCCTGACGAACCAGCTTTATATCTTCAAACATATGCTGAGCGAAGCTCAGCTGACTTTCTAGCTTTATACCTTCAAAGCGCAGCTCAGCTGAGAATCGCTCAGCATACGTTTGAAGGTATAAAGCTAGCGTGTCAATTGAGCTTCTCTCAGCATATGTTTGAAGGTTTTAAACTTAACGAACATTCTTTAAACGTTTTTTAAAAAAAATTTTCATCCAAAGTTTAATTTTATAAAAATCACAGTAAACTTTCGTTTTAAAACATTCGTAGGAAAGGAAAGTTTTTTGCTTTTTCTGAAGCAACGGCTGTTCCTCCCTTGCCCTAAAACAATACAGCTCTTCTATAGAGCAGCACGGATCAAATGTAAAAAACTAGAAGTCTCTACGAGATCTCGTTATTGAGATTTCTTGCTTGCTTGCTTGTTTGCTTACAGAAAGCGTATATTGCGATTTTCTTAGCAATGCCTCAATCAATTTGAAATCTGATTTTTGCAAATGATGTAAAATTTCAGGCACAAACTTTTCTTCTGCACCTTTTATAACCAATTCTGCTTCGTTTTCTCACAAAATGCGAAAAACTGATTTTTCAATCTGAACAAAACCAATAGATTCACACGCGAAAACGGTGTGAATATAAAAAATACATTTGCAGATATATCATTGAAAGCTGACAAAGTTATAACAAAATTTATAAAAATTATTCGTGAGTGACGCTTACTTAATGTAATTTTCCGACATAACTCTTTAACTTAAGAAAATGAGTTCTATGTCAAAAGAAATCGATTTTTGTTTTCTACAAGATAAAATAACTTTGAAATTTGTCACTATTGTGGTTTCGGAGATATTAAAGAAATCATAGCGTCACTCACGAATAATTTTTTTTCGTTGGGCCCAAATAATTAATATCCAACGTTAAATTATTTGCATTATAACAGCATTTCATATTTATTATATTAAAACTATACGATCTACATTTAGGCAGCATCTTATCTGCACTTTATACGATAAAAATTATCTGCATTATACCTTTTTTAAAGCAACAGCATTTCATCTGCATTTTAGGGAAAATAAATTTCATCTGCACTTTAGCAGTACCATCTGCAGCTTGGCAGTACTATCTGCATTTTATGGTAGCTGCATTTTAGGGATTTTTAGATTGAGGTATTGTTATGTGCCAAAATTTAAAAAAAATCTTACCCAACAGCACTATATAGTAAAATAAAAGTAAAACGGAAATGTAAATTAGCAAACCTGACCTTCGATTAATGAACTTCAGTTGACTACGGCTTTATCAAGAAATGTAACTCATAAAATTTACTTGATGTGCACTTTTTCTTATATTTAGCACAAACAGGAAATTTAAAAGAATTTTTCTTTTCCTTATTATTACACCGCAATACAAAATATTATCTTTTTATTGATTCGCATCAAATTGCCATGACATTCGACAGTTAGAAATTTCCTATCGATTATCGAGGACAAAAAATAATAAATTCTTATTGTTTTATCTCATCAATTATTGTGAATGCGAAAATAGAACGCTGATAACCGATATTTTTGTGATATGTTGAATCATGTATGCACAAAAACAGTTTTTATGAATTTAATGACATTTAATGATACTGCTTCAAAAAGTTTTACGAAATTCAAACTATTTTTTAAAGTAATAATATAAAATAATAAAACGTGTTCAATATTTAAAACAAGAAATTTTATTTTATTAAGTCTCGAAATTTTCAATAAATCACATTACCCATTTCACATTACTATGATTCTGTATAATTTCTTTCTTTTTTAAAAATTGGTTTCGATCTCTGATCACAACATAAAAACATTAATTATTCAAAAAAGCACGACTAAAATGTAAATAAATTATAAATATTAAAAGACCTGAGATTCAACAGTATGGTCTAGCAAGTTTATCGGAAAAATGCGTGTTATAATGTTGAAATGTAACTATAGCAACTAAGCACCATGTAAATACATAAATATTTAATACAACAATAAATACACAGGTTAAAATCAATATCGTGTTAATATAGTTATCACTTCCATTGGCTTAAAATTACCTTATCCTTCTGATTCATAAAATATTAATTGATCATTTAATTTTTTATTTACAGACATTACGAGAAACTTCCTTGGACATTAATTCCAATGCATCCTGTAGTCGATGATAATGTCGCTGCTCCAGTCGACCCATGCATTCCTCAAAGGCCATTCACAGAATTAGATTTTGAAGGTAAATTTAATATTTTCAAAAAAGCTCTTCAAATTGTGTCTAAATCAATTTACGAGCTAGTGCTAATAAAACTTGCTAATAAACATAAATGCGTTATAAGCTAGTGCTAATAAACATAAATGCGAAGTGTCTATATTGATCCAATTTTTATCAGATGTAATATAATAATCGTGAGAACATTTCGAACCCATTTGGTTGTGTTATCAATATATTTCATTTTTATTGTCACTGCAGTGTATATAATATCCAGAATTCAATAAATGTTTAAATTTATAACTTAAAATCTGATAAGAAAACTAATATGAATTCTAATAATTCATAGTTTGAGAGGAAGAAATAGCTATACTTAATATTTCTTTCTTCAAAAAGGTCATCGTGCACATACTGTCTATGTCGGTGTTCATGTACCAGCACGTCGCTCGCATAGGAGACGTAAACATATGCCACCAAAGGAGAGTAGTGACAAAGGATTACATGATTCTCAAGAAAGACCTGGTAAGTGATGAGCAGAGAATTTCACAAGCTATGTAAGAGCTATGGCGAAAGCAATTTAATTACACAAACTGAAAGTATACTTGCATCTTTACTTTATTAGTTTTTAATGCTGCTGCCATAATAAATCACTCTAATCAAATATTGAAATGAAACGGGTGTTATAAAATCAGTGATTTTATGCAGTTTAACAGAAATTAAATTCATAACAGAGCATGCCACTGAAATACAGTCAATAAGTAAGAGAAGTCTTTACAATTTTTTAAAGTTTACAGAGTTGGATGTCAAAAGAAATTTTTGCAAAAACTTTTTATAAAAAAAATTTAATTCAACAGATTGGGTTTTTCCGTTGACTAATAAGTCAGACGAATTTATTTTAAAGCTTTTAAAACACAAATGAGGGAACATTAATAAATTCAAATATTGCATAACAAACCACATTTTTATTAATTAGTTGATACCTCTTTTATGAATTCATGGCATTTCGTTCAGGCGTAATTTACAAACGATAAACAATACATTGATAATAATTGAGAAATTAAAAACATTCTATTTATAAAATAGTTCCGTTTAACGCTCATTGTAGACTCAATAAAAATCTCATCGACACTTTTTTTTAACTACTGTAAAATGTAATTGAAATTAGTAGACGTAATAAGATTATCGTATGCAAATTATTAAATTTGTGATATTTAATTTATCGTTTTTAAATTAACAAAATTATAATTTTTTAATTATTGACATTCGATTTAATAATTATCATTACCTTAAATTTGCAAAAAAAAATTATATAAGATATTTTTATGCATAGACTAAATTAATTTTTTTAACAGCCACTCCACCAGCGCAGCGTGTCCAATTCATTCTTGGTGAGGATGTGAATGGTGAAGATGGTATTGGAGTAGCCCCACCACTTGAATCTCATCCATTATTTTCCGAAATGGAAGAGCTCGTGAAAGATGGGGATGAGATTGAATGGAAAGAAACAGCTCGATGGGTGAAATTTGAGGAAGATGTAGAAGAAGGTGGAAATCGTTGGTCAAAACCGCACGTTGCTACACTCTCATTACATTCCCTTTTCGAATTGAGAAATCTTATATTAACTGGCTCAGTAATGCTTGATATGGAGGCAACAAGTTTAGAGCAAGTTGCTGATCTGGTTACAGAAAATATGACAAATAGTGGAATTTTGCCATTTGATTCCAAAATGAAAGTTAAAGAAGCTTTGCTAAGACGACATCGCCATCAACATGAAAAAGAAATGAAGAAAGGAGGTCCATCAACTGTCAATATGAGTCGTCTTCCAATAATTCGTAGCTTGGCAGATATCGGAAAAAATCACTCATCTGCAAAAAGTGAGCTAATAACCCTTAAATTAATTATCTAGGATAAGTGATTTTAAGATTGACTAATGTAAATACATAGATTTTGTGTGCGTGTATGTTTGTCCTACGAAAAATCATTGCAGCTAACAATAATGTTACTTAATATTAAAACAAAAGTAAGCAGCAAAATTTCACAAAAATGGGTATCGCATGTTGCTTATGAACATTGATAATTAATTCCTAACCGAGAACATATGCCAAAGCCTTTTCATAATTTTCATCATGCATAATTTATCTGTATTATACGTTATCAACAGATAATATTTTTAAAATAATAAAAATGCGTTACTTCTCTCTTTATTCATCTAAGTATTCATATTTCGACATAATTTTCATGCATAATCTGAATATCAAATTTTTTAAAATGAATCTTTAAAAGATTTTTTTGATTGCTAAATTTTGTTATGGTTTTGAATTCAAATACATCAGGCGTGTGTTACAATATTCATTTATATAAAATTGTTATGTTTAAAATTTTAAGAAAGATTCATTACGTATCACTAGACAACATTCTCTCAAACTACTCTACCTGACGATTTGACGTGAGAAACTTACTTTTATAAAGAATTTGACATTTCACCTTTTTAGCTTTACGTATAATCTTAACAACGATTCTCTCCTACAAATTAAATTTAAACGCTTAGACATCTAATTTGCATCTTTTATCGCATAATTTATAAATAGAATGGAAAAATAAAAAAATGATTGTTGTTAGTGGGTGGACACATCAAAATTTCGTCAACATGCTATAGAAGAATAATTCATTAAGTGAAAACCGATAATTTCATCTAATTTAATGGTTTATTATTAAACTAATTTGTATTCAAAGTTTCATTAGAGCTTCAAGACTTAATTGTTATGATGATATTATTAATGAAAGTACTTTTGATGCTTCATTAATTTTACTAAAGTTTTCGCATCTAGCAATGATTGCATAGAAATAAGAAATTATTCATTGACTGTTCCGCATAATTAATTGAAATAGATCCTAATTTTTGTTATTAAGGTATTTTACTAAAAACAAAATAATTTTTATTGTAAAATTAAATTTCTCTTTCTGTCTCTTATTCATCATATTAAATAATTTACATTTGTGTAATATTCTTAATTGGTATAAAGTAAAAGATGACCACTCACCATTCGGTGTTACAACAACAACATTTGTCGTACATGCTGGAGGAAGTACATCTCAAGAAAATCAACCAGCAAAAGGTTATTTTCAGGATAATAAAAAAAGTTATTTACTATCATTTGGTTCCAAATATATATATATATTTTTTTGATGTTTCAAAAATATATTAATAACTTACAAAAAAGTCTTTTCATTAACGCTATCTATGATTATTTATTCAATGAGGCATTTCTTAGTATTGCTGATATTAAAATGTCAAAAAGAATTGCCTAACGCATGATAAATATGCTATAGATAGCAACATCATTGAGTTCTAAGATTTCCGTTGATGTTTTTCTTTTTACCTTCTCATTTTCTTTTTATTAGATATGTTAAAAATATTAATCAAAAGTTTGTTTCCATTTCCATCATAAACATAGACATACTCTAAGCTTTCATCTTTCTTCATTCTTATATTAATTTTTCTCTCTTTCTCTGCTCTTTTAAAAAGTTTCTGTAATTAAATCGTATAACATTTAATCATATAATTTTTTTATAAAACACATCGAGTTTATTAGCTTTATATGCTGTCTGAATACAAGATTAAATTTTTGTAATTTCATATGATAATATCATAAGTTTAAACTTTTTGAAAAACAAATTATTGACCTCGAATTATTAAAAAATCATAGAAAACAAGGCTGATAGTTAAAAGCGAATAATTTGATAGAGATTATTTAAAGATTAGAATCTTTCATACAAAAAGGTTATAATCTGTGGGAGCCTTGAGTTGAAATTTTTTAGGAAAATTTTCATTAAATGGTTATAATCTTTTTGTGACAATTAGTTTCTTAATGAAAAATTTATGCATTATGCAATATTTTGTAAAACAAAAAGTTTAAATTTGTTTCGTAAATCCGAATATTTTTCTGTTATTATTTCATTACTTGCAAATAAGTAGAACACAAGTTCTAACTAGATAGCACATTTTCTCTCTATTCTATTTATGAATATTTATAAAGCATACAAGACCCAAAATTACATATATGTTCACTTCAAAATTTCGAGCATCACAGAGTAGACAGATTCATAAATAAAGAGTTTATAAAGAATCAATAAAATCAAAAAACTCAGAATGAATCTCAATTGAAACTTTGTTTTGCTCAGGAATTTTACATTCATCCAAATTTTAAATTTCATTTCATTCTAGTAGTAAATTCTATAGTAAATTTTCATTCATTTTGATCATTTCATTCCATCATTATGATATTCATATGATCAATAATTCATATTGAGTGGATGACTTACATTAAAGCTTTTAATCAATGCATTGTTTTGGGAATCAATTCACAATTTAGCTGCTTTAAAAAGCATAAAAATTAAAATGCTTACTGATGCATGTTTAATTTAATTTCAAACGCAAATGTGCAATTCCTGTAATTTGTTAATTTTATGGCATAGTTACATAGCATTTCATTCGTAACTACCCATTTGAAATATAATAATATATACATTGAAAGATATAATAAAATAAAAAAAATTACAAGTCAACTCTCAAATAACAACATTGACGATACATTCAAGTTCAATCCGCTTTAGAAAATTATTTTTGAGCATTTAAAAAATTTATAATAAAATTTGTTCTTAAATTCAGAAAAGGCTTCCATTTTCATTAAGCTTTTCATGCTAAAAGTACAAAGCTCATTGCTGCATATTATCAAAGGTTTCTTTACATTTTGTTGTAAACATTTTATCTTCTATCTCATTTCCACCACATCACTAGAATCATAATTTTCTCATTAACTCATTTGTGATGTGAAAAATTAAAATAATGTTTTGCAAAAAGTAGCTAATATATTTACCAAAAAAGAATTCAATCGATTTTCATAATTTGTAATTATTATGTCTATGTAAATAATAGTGGATGAACATCACCAAAATTCTAACAGTCCACCTGGAAGCAATACCGCGTGTGGTTTGAAGCATGGAAATAATGGTAGTGGCGCAAATTTTTTAACGGTGCCAGGAAAAAAGTCATTTGGTAAATCAATTTTGTTCAAAATCATAAAATTAGCATAATGATATGCAAAAAAAAATTGATGATAATAGTTTAAATAGAATAGGCATCATGTTGAGTTTTTATTGTATTTTTGGCATGCACTTTTTGTTTGAGTTTTTTAAAAGTTAAGTAAAAGTTTGACAAAACTTAGAAATATCTTAATTGAATTAAAACATTTCTAAGATTCAAAATTGCATCAAAATTTATATTTATTTTTTTATTATCTTCGCATTAAGCTTGTTCTAAAGAAAATGAATAACAAATGTTAAAAAGCCATCAGTTTCTTCATTCAAAGAAAATGTTAAGATAAAAAATTTATTTTAATCCACGTGAGAACTCATGCATTCAATTGGGTTTTGCGTTTGTGAAAAATATACAAATAATATTATGATTAATTTTAGGAGGCGCAAATCTTTTCAAAAATTTTATTCTTAGCCAACATCTCTCATTTTGCATACAACAAATGTTAAATATTTTCTCGACTATTACTAATAACCAAAAACCTTCATTAAGTTTTAGAATGTCGATTCCATTTGCATATATTACTAAAATATTGTAAAACATATGCATACAAAGTATTTGAAAAAGGACATGTAATAAATAATAATTAGTAAAGTCATACCGTGTATCATGAAATTGAGAAAATGGATGTTAAGCTTGTAGCTTTACTAAGTTGCAATAAATTATCATCCATCATGCAACATTTGATTTATCATAAGGATAAACATGAAAGTTTTATATCCTTCAAAGTGTGAATAGTTAATATTCGTTTATCATTCATTCAAATCATTCATTAGAACATGACACAATACATACATAAAAACTTCTACCAAAAATTAAATCTTCCAATTGAATTTAATCAAACATTTGAAAAACTTTTTTATTTTTTTGCACGCTAAAAACATTTTTATTTTGCAAAATTTCAAAAAAAATTTGTCATGTTTTTTTTTTTATTTATTTTGGATGTCACAAAAATGGAGTCGAAGTTTCTCGATTTTCTATTGAATATAAAAAATAAAAGAGCTTCACTCAGTTCAAACCCAAAAGCTCTTTTTCTATTTCAACAGAAATAATTTTATGAACTATGATTTGTTGAGTACAATATTAGTTTCGTTTAAGCTCAAAGCACTGAACTAGCTTTTGTCTTTCCAACTAATAAGAACAAAGCAGCAATAAAATTTTAATTTATTTGTGAAAATCTATTTTGTAGATTCCATACGTTTCATCCTTCCTTTGTTTCTAGTTTTTCCTACATAGTAGAACAGAAGTTTTAGTTGAATATCATCCTTGTTCTAAATTTTTAATTGTTTATTTCTCTAGTTTATTTTCCAATTAAAGAAGTTAACTCAAAATGCAAGATTTTTCTAATTTAAATTTTTCTTTATTTCTTCGTCCTTTGTTTTTTTAATAAAAAATAAATTGGCAAAACAGATCAAGTTCCGAGCATCATTAGTCCAAGTAGTACTTCACAAATGCTTCGCAACGTTAGCTCAAGTGACTTTCAAGGACTTGATCATCACCGTATTAATTTTAATTTTATGAGGAAAATTCCACCGGGAGCAGAAGCATCAAATATTTTAGTTGGCGAAGTCGACTTTCTTACAAAGACATTATCGGCATTTATCAGATTAAATCAAGCAACTGTAATGGGAGACTTGACAGAAGTTCCAGTCCCCACAAGGTTAGTTAAAACTTTGTAATTTAACTTTTATGACAATGTATTTCAATTTTTTATCGGTTCCTTCTACAGGTTTATTTTTGTTTTGCTTGGACCCCCAGGCAGTCAGACAACATTCCACGAAATTGGACGCTCAATGGCAACACTTATGTCAGATGAAGTATTTCATGAGGTTGCATATCGAGCAAGAAAACGCGATCATTTGATTGCAGGTATTGATGAATTCTTAGATGCCGTAACTGTTCTTCCACCTGGAGAATGGGATCCATCTATTCGTATTGAACCACCAGCTGCCATTCCATCTCAAGAAGTTCGAAAACGTCCACCTGAAAAACAACCTAAGAAAGAAGAACCGGATGAAGAAGAAGAAGAACAGAGAATACGAGAAGAATCTGGTTTATCACGTTCCGGAAGATTATTTGGTGGATTAATTAACGATGTCAAACGTAAAAAGCCTTTTTATTTGTCTGATTTTAAGGATGGTTGTAATTTGCAGTCGGTGGCCTCATGGATCTTCCTTTATTTCGCTTGTCTCTCTCCTAGTAAGAAATTAAGGTTATTATTTAGAATGTATTTTAATTTTTTTAAATTTTTCAGTTGTAACATTTGGAGGTCTATTAGCAGAAGCAACAGGCCAGAATATGGCTGCAATGGAATCACTCGTTTCTGGATTTGTTTGTGGCATTGTTTATGGCTTCTTCTCTGGACAACCACTAACGATATTAGGATCAACTGGTCCTGTCTTAGTATTTGAAACAATTGTTTATGAGTTTTGTGCACTTGTCGATTGGGACTACATGGCATTCAGATTTTGGATCGGTACATGGGTTGCAGTTATCTTGCTCATTCTTGTTGCTATAGATGCATCAGCATTTGTATGCTACATAACTCGATTTACAGAAGAAAATTTCGCTACATTGATCGCATTTATTTTTATTTATAAGGTAATATTAAAACCTAGTTGATATTTTTTTACAAATATGCTTACAAAATTCAATTAATTTCCCAACAGGCAATTGAAAACACATTTGCTATTGCTGGAAAAGTCAACAAGGAAGGCTGTTTCTGTGAACTTCCACCGGGATATGAAGGAGAAAAATTGCAACTTATATCTGATTCCTCTGAGTTTAATTTTACATCATGCGAAGTAATACGATTGTTTACTCATAAAACATTAATCAAACAAAATTTTTATTTATAGTTAAAAGGAAAATTAATTGGAGATTGTTTCTCAACACCATACGCATCACCTATATTCCTAATGTCTTTCCTTCTATTCGCCTTTACGTTTATCATCTCAACAACATTAAAAGACTTTAAAAATCGTCTTTTCTTCCCCGCAAACGTTCGTCAATTCATCAGTGATTTTTCAGTTATAATTGCAATTTCATCAATGACACTTATAGACTATATTACTAACATTCCAACGCCAAAACTTCAAGTTCCACATGAATTTAAACCAACTTTAGAAGGTCGAGGTTGGATTATCTCACCATACCATGAAAGAAATCCATTTTACTCGTGCATAATTGCTGTTATTCCTGCATTACTTGGTACAATTTTAATATTCATGGATCAACAAATTACAGCTGTTATCATAAATCGAAAAGAGAATAAATTAAAGAAAGGATGTGGTTATCACCTTGATTTATTTATTCTTGCAATCTTAATTCAAATATGTACAATAGTAGGATGTCCATGGTTTGTTGCCGCTACAGTATTAAGTATCACACATGTTAACTCGTTGAAATTAGAGTCTGAAACTGCAGCGCCGGGAGAAAAACCTCAATTTTTGGGTGTACGTGAACAACGTGTTACACATATTATGATATTTTTGACTATCGGTTGCTCGGTTAAATTGACACCACTCTTATCTCACATTCCAATGCCTGGTAAGTTTCAATCATTTTTTCAATTTTAATTAATTAATTTAATTATCAATATTTTCTATAGTTCTCTTTGGTGTCTTCTTGTACATGGGAGCGGCATCACTCAAAGGTTTACAATTTTACGATCGAATGCTTATTGTATTAATGCCACAAAAATATCAACCAGATTATATGTTTCTCCGTCAAGTAATGTAGCTATTGCGATACAACATAATTATTTAATTAACTCTTGTTCTCTCTTCAAATTAGGTACCTATTAGTCGCGTCCATTTATTTACTATTATACAACTTACATGTTTAGTATGCTTATGGGTCATCAAATCTTTCCAAGCAACTTCTATTCTCTTCCCACTTATGCTAGTCGTTATGATCGGAGTTCGTAAATCACTTGATTGCATCTTCACGAGGCGTGAACTGAAAATCTTAGATGATATTATGCCAGAAATGGTGAGACAATCTGGAGACGATGACTTACATCATTTAGAAGACGGAAATGGTGGCAATGCCGAGGTGGGCATTTTCAAAAAATTTGTCGCTTGTTGCATTGGCGAAAAACCTGATAAATTAAAAAAGCGCAATTCAAATATGCACAGCTAAGCATATATTCTTTCATCGCATGCTTCACTTACATTGAACAAAAACAGATAAACCAATTATTATATATTTACAAACATTCAATACATATACCAATTTGATATGTTTTTATTTTTACTCCCTATCCAAATTGTAATTATTTTATATATGTGCATTACCACAATTCATTTTTAGAAAACAAATCTTTACACACATTCTCCTATTGGTCGCTCTTCCTTCATTATTTATCTTCTTTTATTTACTTATTTGTTTTTTGTTATGTTATGAGTTAAAATAAATGAATTATTACAAATCAACATGAACTTTTTATCCAATTTCCGACTCCCTCTGTCTGTTTTTTTTTCTTATTAAAATAATAGTGCCAATGATATAAAATGTATTGAAAATGAATTTTGCATGAGAATGAACAGGGAATTTCAAATAAAAAGAAAGTGTGTATCTAAAGATAATTTTAAGACAGTCAAAACATCAACGCAAATTTAAATTGTCTTCATAAGTTTTATAATAAAATGACTTTTTAATTAAAATTAAAGTTTGCATTACAATGTGATACTAAACATTTAAAAACATCATCTGATGTAAAATGTTGTGGTTCATTCACGTTTAACTTTTAGGAAGAAGGGAAAAAGAAGATGATTTATACTGCATAAAATGTCTTTCATTGAAAACCTTGTCATCGCAAAGATGAATGAACAAGAAAAAAATCAAGGAAGCTTTAAAATTCATAATGTGTCAAGAGTCTCATGCTTATAAGCATCTTTAAAAAAGGATTATAGTATTTCAAAATGAAGATACGAGAAACCTTACAAGTATCACATTTAAATGCATTTTTAAATTTTGCATTGGTAAACTTTGTTTTTTTTTTTTTATTTTTTTTTTAAATTCGCATGCTAAAATGAATGATTGAGGAAAAAAAAACTCTGTATATTGCAGACGATAATTATTTAGAACAGTGAATTCCAAACTATGGGTCGCGACATACTAGTGTGTCGTAAAAACTATCAATCAAGCAAACTACCAAGGTTTGTCGCCTACCAAAAAAGTTAAGAAGATACTGATGTAGAATAAAAAAAATTGGAAAGTGGGATTTTTTACGAATAATTTTGATATTCACGATAATTTCTATTGGAAATAATTTAATTCATTTGCTCAATTCACTTAATTTGTGTTAAAAAATTTTTATGTAAATTAAATTGGTTTAATGTACAAAACACAATTGAGTGATAATATAAATGAAAGTAATATTGGATGAATGCAAAATTCATTATCTCATGTTTATACAGTATTTTTGCACAAAAATGTTTCAATTGAAGTTTCAATAAGTTTTTGTAAGGTTTGAATATTGTAAACGAATCAAGCAGAAATTGAAAAGCATAAAACAATTAAATAAGGAAAAAGTTGAAACCTCATTTTAAAAATTATATAGCAAAATATAATTTAATGAGTAGTATAGAGTCAATTGAAGTTTTCTGATTTTAATAATTTTTTAATATAGTCGTCTATAGTTTGAATCTAAAATTAAAATTTTGAAAACAGATTCTCTCAATAGGAAGTATCTAGATCAGCCAATGAAAAAATTTCTGTAGAAAGCTTCTTTACATTGCAATCATGTGCCATGGTTAAAAAATTCATTTAAAGAATAGAAACTAAACTTAAATGCGTTTTTAAATTAATGTGCAGCAATCAATAAACGATTGGTGCAATTATTTATTAGTCAAATAAATTACTGAATGAATGTAGACTTAATTGGCATATGGAATCTTAAATTATAGTAGAATCTAATTTAAGTTGTGTCAAGAACCTTTTCATATAGAAACGACTAATCTTGACACTTGGCATGATAAGTTAAAACTGGAAATGATGAAAAATTTATTTTGTAAATTTGGACGGAAAAAATAAGAATAAAACAGCAAAAATAAATTATTTAAAAATATTTAATAGCATTTTTCCATTTTGCATGATATATGAACACTGCTTGATTTATGTATTAGGATGATTCAGAAATGACGTCTATCAATCTTTTCTGTCATACATTTTTTATTCAGATCCAGATCCTCCCATCCCGTTACTAAAAGTTGAACGTCATTAATGAACATTTCCGTTTTTATTATTTTCGTATTTCACACATTTATTGCGTTTATTTATGCTAGTTATTGCCAATAATTGAGACAAATTTAAATTGATAAAATAAATTTATTACAGCAAAAAAATTCAAAACAGCAAAAACCGACAGTTCAGCTTACATTTTCAAATGGTTCGCTTACAAATGTCAATATATCTGAGGAACTAGGAAAAACCAGCATATGGCAACAATTGACAAGAAGCAGCAAAGGAGAGAATGAATTAAATTCTCAGTAAGAATGAAAAAAGTTTTTCATAATTGACTTAAATTTTAAAATTTTTATTTTCCACTCAGATACTCTGATATAATAATTAAAACAGACAGCCCTCCTCACAGCGAAAAGCGATTATCAATCATGCGGGAAGAAGATGAAATCACAACAGACGAAAAACGCTCTTCATCACTGAACATTTCACAGGTTTAAGCACAACAACAATCGAGTTAATTTACATTCATCCCGCCGATATATAATTGCATTTGATGTAAATAGAGCTGAAATATTTGGATTAATTTCATTGACATTCTTCATTTGTATCCCGGATGTAAATCCTAATTGAGTTATAACAAACAGTTTTTAGAATTTTTTTAAATCATGACTAATCTACACAAAATACTAGCACAATAGCATAACATGATTTTTTAAGCTTATATTCACAATATGATTATGTATTGTCAATTAAAAATCATTAAAAAATCTTGTATTTAAAATTTTTAAAGATGACACAGTTTATACTACTGATGTTTAAAAATAATATACAATTATTATATGTATTGTTTTAAAAAGTAGTAAGTTTTGCTTTACATTTTTTAAAAGAAATTTTATTCAAAATAGTACTGTTTTGACATAGCTTACCAGATTAATAGAAAAAGGTCTTAGGACCAATGATAAAAAAAATTGCCTATTTTTAAATGGTTATTTGAAAGCTTGTTTAAAAAGAATGATTTTTAAAGTTAAAGATAATTGTTGACTATATATTTAGAAATAGCTATGATTTTAAATAGTCACATTTTTAAACGAACATTTTTTTTTATTCGCATGCTAGCTGAATTGTTAATTCATTATACATTAATTCATTGTATACAAATTTATTATTTAAAAAAAAGAGTTGAATATCATATTGATATACTAAGGTTCTTTATAGAAATTGGTAAAAAAAAACATAAATTTAATTTTATAAAAACCAACAAAATTATAATCCTTACGTCAATCCAGTCATACTTCACATTGGGTGTTAATCACCAGAACCTAATCTAAAACACAGTATAATCATATTTCAAATCAATTACATTTTCAATAAACGTTATCATATTAAACTCATACTTACCACTCATTACAGGTGCAATTAATGAAAATCAATTATATGGAAATTTGTTTTATTTTAAAGAAATCCGATAGAGAAAAAAATTTTAGCTTAAAATTCTGGCATAAACCAAAAATTAATAAAATTAACAATGGTTGTATTTTTTTATTATCATTTAAATGTATGGAAAGAGAAAATAATGAAAATAAAGTCGTTCACTTATATCGTAAAATATTTATAAGCGGGGGGTCTAAGATTCTGTGACAGTTCAAACAAAAAAAAAAGGATTCTAATAATTCATATGCTGAGCAAAGCTCTTTCTATCCACAAGACTTTCGATGGTACGGTGTAAATAAATCCGCATTGAGTTTCTACTCGATACACTAGTTTTTCATAGAAAATTTGTGACAGAAAGGCGAGTCGGTCTAAAACTCATGTATTTTTACGGATGTAATAAGTGAACGACCCTAGTTTTACCAAGTTTTTTTTTACTTTCTACCCTTGATGTGACATGTTTTTTTTTTATATCATGAAAAACACTGATAAATGAATTTGTGCTGAAAAAACAACTGTTATATATTCTTTGTCCAAATCACATTATTCACTGCCCACTCTCACATAGATCAATAACTTAGAACTGGTCTTGTAGCATTTTTACTAACTTCTCCTTACTATATCTAAAATAAATTTTACAAAAAAATTTTTATAAATGGACTGATATGAAATGAGAATGTGTTAGCTCTGAAGAAACGATTGTTTAAAATTAAAGGCTAAAGCAAAAAATAAAAATGAGAAAATTGTACTATTTTTTATTAATTATTAATTCTTAAAAATAAATAAAAACGAGTGAGAAAATAAAACAAAAATGATTTTTTCAACAACATATTCACATTAAGTTTTCAATTTGGATGAATTTTTAAATAATAACTGAAAACAAAATGCTTAATTCATCTTAATTTAAATTTTACTTTACCTATGTGTATCAGAAAAGCGTACAAAGAAGTATTCTTTCGGCTCTGCTTTATCGACAATTCTTGTTTTAAGTCCTGTCAAGAAAAACTTAAAATGTATTATAATTTTTAATTATTAAAAACCTTATAGTATCATTTCCATTTTAACACGATATAAATTAGTTTAAAAAAACATTCAAAAAAAGGAGATTTAAACAAATTTTTCATGCTTTGGATTTCTTTATGTTTAATTTAAAAGCACATTTTTTTAAAACGTCTGACATTTTCTCAACATAAAGAGTGAGTGATTTATCAATCATTCTATCGTGCTTTTAAAATGCACGTGACAAAAAATAATGTCATAACCTTGAAAACTTCAATAAAAAGTCTATTTAATGATTATAAACGTTTCAATTTGACTTATCAAAAGTTTACACGAAAGCTTTTGCTGACAAATTTAGAAAACAATTTTCATATGTGACATAATGAGTGGAGTGCGACTCGAATTTTTTTGTTTACTTCCTCGTCCTGATAAAGAAATTTTTTCAATTAAAATTGTGCTCTGATAATTTATTTATATTTGCTTAGTAATTTCTTTTTGATAAGTGACGCAATGGTAATCTTACGTGAGACTTTAGTCATAATCCAACGTATTTGTCGCTGATTAAATTAATTATTCTGTTTGTTGCCATGTAAAACTAATTAAAATCCGTCATTTTAGCAAAGGAGCTGTGGAATTTTTTTCTTTTAAACTCTGCAATGCAATCTGGTGTGGGGTTACAGGTGTCGAATTTTGTTATTTTGGTGCTTTTTTGATTAATTCTTGAAAGGTGATAACTTAAGAATTTTTTAATAATTTCCCTATGTACATATTTATATGTTTTTTAAAAAAATAAGTGATTAAATTATATTTATACTTGAAGTCTCTCTGATTTTATTTTATTTGTATACCAGAATTCGAGTGCGATACATCGTTTTGAAAATTACATTATTGTTTTTAATTAACTACTGAAACTTTGTGAAGTTTTCAAGAAATTACAGTTAAAATTATGGTAAGTTTAGTTTTCAAATCATTGTTAAAATAATTTATTTTCAATGAGCAAACTTTTTCCTTATAATTAATTTTTTTTATTAAGAAGAGTCTACATTTTATTGAATCAACAACTTAATTTTGAAAATAATTGAATTTAATTTTTTTATATATAATTGTTTAATATAAAAATAGATAAATCTAAAATGCAACTTCAATTAATTAAAATCTAAAATAAGTCAAGGTCTTTGAATAATTATAATACTGGTGTTGAGTTAGAAGTAGATTTGGGGTCGATTTCCATCTTTTGTAACCAAAAATAAATCTTTGATATGCTAGATTTGAACATGTTCTAGATTTTTCTCAAACTCTAAACGACTTGGTGTAATAAAGATAAATAATTTTAATTGAATTTTTATACAAAATTTACCTTAATCCTAAATTTATAAAAAAGATAATAATTAAGTTTCCTATTAAAAAAAAGGAAACGGTTAACACCAAACAGGCGCTTAATAGATGAAAAGTCAATGTTATTCGTGATCAACTTAAATATCTGTCAAAGTCCAAGTAAACAAGTTCATTTACTCTTTGATGACTTTCGTTGTTCATCCTATTTTTGGATGATCTTTTATTTAAAGCCTTCATGGTTGACTTGATTTTCCCAATTAATCAATTGAAAACAAACAAATTTTCTAAGTTTCGGTAAACTTTGAGTCTTTTTATAAGAAACGTGATCAATGTGTGATTTTTCGTGATTAATATTCCTTGTTGTTGTTCATTTTTATATTAAACGTACGCTTATCAGAATTTCGATTCCATTTGTTGTGTTTAATAGGAAGCATATTGAAAACGAAAATTAAAAAAATTTAAATTATTTTAAAAAAAATTATATTGCTTTGACCATGTGGTCATGTTATCAAATGGAAGTAATTAATTTATAATTTTGTGCTATCATGTAGACACACTTCAGACACCCTGCCGCGTTCTTGAATTTTATTGCTCATAATTATTTAAATCATTTTTTAATAAATTTCTTTCCTCTGACAGAACTCAAACACTATGATCATCTTCTTTATTTGCTTGGTGATTATTTGTAATCTCGTTTGTGGAAAACCAGTTATTGTTGATAAAAGTAATCAGAAAACAAATTCAATTGTGAAAAGACCAATTATTAAAAGAAAGTCTACAAAATCATCAATTAATAGTCAAAATGATTTTATGCCCATGATATCAATGCAAATGATCAACAGAAATGCAATGATGCATAATAAATTTGAGAGTAAACAGAGAAGCGAACAAGCAAGAACAACAAAAGCTACACTTAAATCAACTATAAATCCACTATGTGCTTCACAAGTTATTCCTGTAGAGACAGTTCCCAAAAGTGTTCGACCTAATACAATGTTTACATCATATAATTGGTCACCATCGAGGTGAAAATGGTTTTTTATGCTTAATTAAAATAATCAATAAAGGCTACAGTGATATTTTTAAGAAATTTTTACAATAATAAAAAGTTATTTTTTAAAATAAAAATCAAGAACCTTTTAATTTATCCTTTTGAATTCTAAATAACATTGTGACTGAATTATTCTAAAACTCGGACCACCAAAATATTTCCTTTTCTTGATTCCCCCCCCCCCCCCCCCCCACTTTTTTATTATTCCACTAAGTCTATGTCACCAAAATATAATTATAAAAACAGTAGGTCACACACGCAGCGTAAGTAAAAATACTTCACATTGTGTCCTGCCAAACCCAGAAAAAGACCAAATTTAAAAAGTTTACATATATTTCTAACACAGTCTGTTTTCGGACGTTAACGATTAAAGACACAAGTGGAGGATTGTGAAGAGCAGAAAATGGCAATTAGAGCTGCACAGTGTTTAAAAATTGAAACAGCTGGACTCGTTATAGGATGGATATACTTAATTGCATTTTCTATCGGTTTTGTTGCTGCTTTAGTTTCATCGATAGTTGGAATGAAAATTTATATTTCTGGTGAGAAAATCCTTAATTTTGAAAAGTTGTAGTGCCTGTATACTGATTACTTGAAACTCTTTTAATGATCAAAAGTTTTCTAATTAATTTATAATAACTTATTCATAGAATTATAATTTTTAATATTTTAATACTCAGGTGGTGATGGAATCCTACAAGCTCTTTTGATTTTCTTTGTCATGATCGTAGCTCTAACTCTGTTGGGTCTCCTTGCCTTTCTTTGTCAAGATTTTATTAAAGGAGTTGAAAACGTGAGTTAAAAATTTACCAAAAAACTTTATTATGTCTTTAAACTTTTGCTTTTCATACTTTTCAGCGCACCAACGCAAAAGTTCGTAACTTTAAAGTTCTAATCGCATGCTTACTTCTTCTTTCTTTTATTTTTGTAATAATTTCTCTTATCGGAGCTACGCAAACATTTGAGTTTCAGAAATCTTTCTGGCATCCATCTACTCCTCCGTTGGGTCTTCAATACGTTCTCTTTGCAGTATTACTATTTGCTTTACATTTTGCCATACTCGTTGTTGTTGACATCATACAAAAAAAGTTTCATCATTACGAAATGAGAAGCCAAATTTACAAGGAAAATATGAACCTTAATGTGGTATCGTCATATCAAGCAAGGCCACACAGCATGAAGATTCCGGATATTGAATTACCTCCACCGCCATCAAAATTTTAACTACCCGCACAAGATTCACTCGACTTGGGTGTGTTTACATACGATTCATATCTTCTACAATAATGCTAAATTAAAAACAAAATTTATCCTTCATTTATGAAAAATCCTTTACTCTTTTCTATTTCGCGTTACATTTTGCAATAAAAATATTTTTTATGTCAGAAATATTTCCATACACAGCACTATTAAAGCTTTTAATCATTTAAGCATGAAAACAAATAAAAAAAGTTATTTGACCTTAAGAGGTGGTTTTATTATGTTTTTGTTATTCTCACTTCCTCTTTAATCATATCTATGTAATTTTGAATATGTGTAAACATTGTATAGAAATGAACATCGCATCCACCATCTACTGATCGGGTATTACTGACTATCCCGTGAATATGATAAACATTTTCATCATCAACGGTTTTTGGAACTACATAACCAGCACCAGAATCACCTTTACATACAGCACCACGTCCATCGGTATATCCTTAAATAAAATAAATTATTAAAAATAGTCCTGTAATATTTTTAACTAACAGCATGCACTTTTAAATCAAAAAGTCAATTGGACCTGCACAAAACTTGTCACTCGTGACGAATGGTTTAAAATTTTCTGGAGCTTCTGATTTGCACTGCCTAATATCAACTATTGGCAAGCTAATCTTTTTCAATCTATCGCTTGGACTCGCATCGGCCTCTGTGTATCCATATCCTGCAACTAGACCCATTGTTCCTGACATTGGAATCTGCTTTTCAGCAATTGTTTTAAGATCAAAGTTCAAACATACAGGTCCGATATGAGGTTTATAAATTATTTTATCATTAAGTGACACAATAGCAATGTCTGCATCATAATTTCCAGAATATCCAAAATAAGCATCATGAATTTTAATTTTTTTGATTGTTAATTCCTGAGTTGGAAATTTTTCAGGAGTTTTTTTATCACGAAAATACTTTCCAGCTACAACAGTGAATGAATCTAGGGAAACTTGCACTATTCCGGATGGCATTTCTCGTGTAAAACAATGAGCTGAAAAAAATGATATTTATTTTATGTTCGGCTCATTCTGGATTATGACTTCACCCGCAGAAAGAACCACTCGTTCACTAATGATATTTCCACCACAAATAAGTATATTATTGGTGTAAATAGCAACATTCCATGGAAATTCTGTGACATCTGTTTCTTCTCCATGAATGATTAAAGCTTTGGATTTTTTCGTCAATTTTCCACACACTGGTTGACATTCATATATCATTCCGCTCCATTTACCATTTCCTGTACATTCAATTTCAGTTGATACCATACTGTGGGAAGGATATTCATAACCCGTTTTGCAATTTATCTTTACAATGTCTTTTGCAAATAGTGTGTCATTGCATGGAATCTTCATATTTTCTCTCATGCATGTCAACGATATAGTTTCGCCAGTCAATGCATCATGAGAACATGTCACAAGAGAGTCTTTATAATATCCAGGTGAATATGCAAAGTTTGCATAGGCATAAGGTGTTGTTGTCTCTAAAGAATCCTTCTTTTCAAAAATATATTCAAGAGCTGGTTTAATGAATAAACTTCCAATTTGATAGCCCACAGTTACAGGTTCATTTTGTTCATCACTTCCACTATCGCTCGGTTTGCTCATGCCAATAATACTCTGAGAAATAACAAAAATGCGTCATGAAGGTCAATGCTTTTCTTATTATTTATTCTGATTAAATCTCTCATTTTTGAAGCATAAACAGAGAATAAATATTTAAAAATGAGAAGAATAAGAAAAGAAGTCATCAGGTCAAACTTTGTGACTTGCGAATTTTATTGCATCATTAGAATTTTTGATGCTTGTCTAATTTTCGATTAACTTGTTTGTTATGCAAATAAGCTATAGATATTTTATACAAACGCCAAATTTTCCAAAGGTTTTCTTAAAAAAATCTCCTTCTACTTTTCCAGCTATGTAAATGATTAAAAAACCTGTGATCAATAATCTGAAAGTACCTGAAACGAATAAAAATGTAATTAATTAGAATTTAGAAAGGACATCTTTTTTCTTACTCATGTCTTTAATCTACAATTTTTAAACTTGAAATGAGCAAAAAATCTTTAATTATTAAAAAATCTCCGCAATAAAACTCTCAAAAAAATTTTTTTTATTATCATTCATTTTTTGAGGATTTCTTGTTGAAAGAGAATGTGCCCACTTTTTTTAATAGTGAACCCACATGAAATCAGATTTATAATTTGAGTAATAATTAAAAGTCGGGTAGCTGAAAAGTATACAACAGTAATTCGTGATTAGACACACACTCAAAACTGCATACTTTAACTTGCTGCTTCAAGCGTATGACCAAATGTTGGAACAGGAAGTTCATGCATCATATCCAAAAATGCAATAATTCGTCGACCATTTAAGCACTTAGTTATAGAGTTGACTTTTTCCCATTACAAATTGGTGATTTTGTCTTTATTGGATATAATTCAGGAATCTCAGCTGCATTCATTGGATCTTACGTTTATATTAGAAATAATTATTAGTTGATAAATGCATCAGTTATTAAGTTGGAATATGATTAGCGCTGCTGAAAAGATTTCAGTCAATTGAGCATCAAGATGGCAGTTTAAAACAACACAAAAATGGTCAAAGTCGATACAGGAGCCGAAAAGATCAATTTTATTAGACTTGAAATCGAGTGACTCGTAAGGAACGTAAGAAGCCGAAAAGATCTATTACAAAATCGTCGATTCTGATGACTAGTTGATATCAATTAATTATGAATTCCACCTATTATTTTTGATTCCAAACTGAATTTGTTGCTGAGAATGAACCTAACAACACCAGCGGTACTTGGTCAACGACGACTGAAAAATAAGGATGTTCTAATTAAAATCTTTGCAAAAGAGCGTTAATGTTTAATTTATTCTTTTTATTAATAACGACCCAATAAAGAATATCTAATGTATAATGCTTGATTTTTAACTCTTACCATTGTTTTACATCTTTTATGAAGATGATGATTTTTCAGAATGCCAGTTTGTGAGAACTTTTCATTAAAATTAATCATTTGTTGTGCTTCTTTGTAACGTCTAATAATGCAGTATTAAATTCCTTCACAGAGAAATTCACAAACGTGCTTATTTCACCTTTTCAGCACTGAGCCTTCCTTTACAAAAGAATATCATCCTTTCTCCTGCACACTAAATTGTCATTGATTGTCTTGTTGAACTTCCTATATTCTATCGTCGATGCTCCTTTTAGACATCCGAAATTACTTTGAGTGTGTGCCCTCGTTTCTTCCTTTGCAGCAGTTTCTTCTTACTAAAGCTTCTTTATTTCATTTGATTTGGCTCTGATTACACTCTCTTTTCATGCATCGATTAAAGAACCTTGGTCCCAAGCAGTCGTAGGATTCTAGATGAGTACAAAAAAAAATTTCCTTGTTGCTGTAGTTAGAAATTTTAAATTTTTTGAAATTCAAATTATTTTATGACAATGATGAGGAACTCCTAGTGTGGGTGGTAATCAACGATAGTTACTGTTTGCAATAAGAATAAAGATGCTAATGTCGATAGTGTTATGTAAATCTCTCATTTGTACACTTTCTATCCATTACTTAATCTTCACATTCAAAATCTTGATTGTAGGTTTTCAGTATACCCAATAAAATATTTCCGTCTCTTTAGCTTTGTCAGAGAGAAATTTTACGAATATTGTTGAAAAATTGAAATTTAAAAAAGCTTAGACTTTAACGATTTTTGACTAATAGAGTAATTGATTTTAATTGTATAAAAGTAGAAAACACTTACTTTAACCTTACAAACATTTATATAACGTGGCTTAGCCACAAAATTTATTATTTATTTCATAAAAAAACTTAATTAAATCACGGAACCTAAAGTACAATAGAAAAAAGCAATGCCTCTGCAGCTCAATAATCCTTTGTTTACATATATATAGGGAATTTGTCCAGGGACCCTTATTGCGAATTTCCGTCTCAAAACTTAAAACTCAACAACTGTGAATTTGAAAAATTAAGCTCGTATAAAATTGAAAGCACGAAAAATTCGAATTCCAAAAATTGAAACACGAAAACTCGAATTCCAAAAATTAAAACTCAAAAAATTCGATTTCCAAAAATTGAAACTTAAAAAATTCGAATTCCAATAATTGAAACACGAAAACTCAAAATTTTCCAATTCAAATCGCAACTTCTGTTTGTCGGCCTCTTTTCTACCGAAATAGAAAGGATCACAGGACTCACCTCGCGAAGGTCAACAGAACGAGTCCCTGGTTAATGATCAATTTTTGGTCGAATTCATCAGTGATATGCTCCTTCATAAATTAAACAACTTTCGTTAGACGACTTCGTTGCAACTTACAGGATAGCCAAGTTTTACCAACTATGACAAAAACTGTAAGTTAAACACATCACCGGGTTACATTAAATGCCGTGATGCATCTATCATTAAGGGAGTGCGACCCATCTGGAAGCGCCTCTATAAAGATCAATACCGACATGAGTCAACGAATTTCAGTACCACTGGCCTTTACGTCCTTTCCAAACCGACAAGAACAAGCTGTAACACCGTAAGGCATGGTTTGGAGTCATGAATAGAGAGCTCACGTTCAGGATTTATTGTGCAAAGATCTTGTTATGACTCTCAGCGGCCCGGAAGTATTTGTTATTATTATTATTATTATTATTATTATTATTTATTATTGTACTTTTGTCAAAGGAAAAAGCCGATTTAAATGCACAGCACATCTCTGGCATTTAAAACGGCATAAAAAACCTTTGTAATGAGTGTTCACAATTCGAAAACATTAAAGGAATTACAACATTCGAAAATTATTAAGAATTCCTATCAACAATTAGATTTTTCTTTTTAACGGGCATTTTGATTTATAAAACATAGCATGATCTTAATTGTGTCATCTCAGAAATAACGGAAAGAATTTAAAATTTTCAGTTAAAAAATTACAATTATTATAACAGTTAATTTAATTTAATAAGTGCTTAAAGTTCCATCCAAAACTGCATCTTGACTGATCTATACCGACTGAAGAACTGAAAGAATTGGAAAAATTCACGAAATACAAAGTAAAATAAGAGCTGAAAAAGAAATGAATTAATAAACAGGATAATACGGACGGATTGACAGTAATGTTTTTTTTGGACAGCTCACCAACATCCCCCTCTTTTAATTCCTAAAAAGTTCAAAGCCCTTTTTATAGAGGATAAGCCTCGTTCGATAAAAATTATAAAAAAAACTCGAACGTGCCATTGAAATTGATTCATGTCCAGATTATTAAAAAGAAAAATCCTTTACGTTAATAAAACTACCAGTCATCCCTTACCAATCACCCCTAACCCCTCAACCAATCACCCAAACCATTCCCTTGGCGTCAATGAGGCGCAACTCCCAGATATATTTGTTTATGCTCTTCTCGCTTACCCAACCCCTATTCCCTCGCTTACCCAACCCCTACCCCCTCACACCTTACAGTAAATTTCCAAAGCTTCTCCCAGATGAAATATTCTTCAATACGCTCGCAAAGAACTGGATTCCTTATTTTGAAATCTTTGATGAGTCGTCTAAATTTTTTGTTGTCGCTCAATTTCAAATAATGGACGAATTTCATTTTTAACTCGTCCGATTCGTCAGCATAGAATGTCATAAAACCGCGATACAGGTTCGTAAGCTTCTGTTTCTTATACTGAAAAAGACAAGATAAAGAATATTAATTTAAAGATTTATTCTGTTACTTAACCTTTTGTTCATAAATAAATCACTCTCGACCTAGATGATTCGGTCTCCTATGTGACGAAAGTAACTTACCTCAACAGTTGGATCATATGGCAGGTCTTCACTCCTGGTTGGCATTGTTGATTGTGATGTGAGGTAGTCTTGCGGATTTTCTTTAAATTTCGGCTCATAATTGTCTTCATCGCTTGTAGGATCAGTTGATTTCGGTGCTTCTCCTGTTGCTGCCGATGATATTTCTACTACTACCTCTTTTACGTCTGCTCCTTCCTGTGCTCCTTCTTCTGATCCTTCCAATGCTCGTTCCTGTCCTTCAGTTGCTCCTTACTGTTTCGATCCTTCCGTTGACATTTCAACTCCTTCTGCTGATTGTTGTTTCGATCTTTCTATTTTCGTTTCCGTTGATACTCCTTTTGATATTTCTGATGACATAACAGTTGCTTCTGTTGATTCAGTTGCTGTTTGATGCTTTGATTGTTGCTGTTCTGTTGAATTTCCTTTAATTTTCGTTTTTGCACCGTGTATTTTCACGAAATTTTATAATGAAGAAAATTTTTTCATAGGTTGCTGATATTTTAATTTTTCATGAATTTTCGATTTGGAAAATTTTGATTGTTTGAATGAAGCTGAAAGGTTTTTTTAACAGAAGTTCGACATTAACTTAATTGTTTCAGAGTGAATTACAAATGCAGCATGTTCAACAGTTGTTGTAAGAAGAAATTACAGGAAATCAAGATGAAAAAATTAGAAGCAACTCTAAAGAAAGAGTTTATTGAGGAACAGAAGAAGAAATTGAAGTCATCAACATTTAAGAAAGCCACAAGAAAAAAGGGGCCATTCACTTATTACGTAACGCTTTTAGGGGGAGGGGGGGTCTAAGATTTTGTTACGATTCAAACAAGGAAATTTTTTTTTCATACAAATTTTGTTACGAGGGGGGGGGGGTCTAAAAAGTCATTTTTTTCGCGTTACGTAATAAGTGAACAGCCCCGAAGAGGAATGGTAAAAACGTGAAGATAAAAAAAAAATGACAACGCAAGAAAACTCTATCAATTCGATTTGAAGACGTCAAAATAACAGAACGGAAGCTACCTATTGGTTAATTGGCTAATTGGCTTAATGTACGAAATAATAATTAGTTTAGATTTTTTTTGTGTTTCATAATGTGCTCATGCAGTAAAAGAATAAACTAAATTAAAAATCAAAACTCTCTAAAGAATTTAAATGGAACGTAATTGTTTTTCAGTTATTGTTGTCGGAACCAGTGCTGGTCTTTTTGTGTTTATCTTCAGAATCGAATCGAATCAGGATCAGTTATTGATTCAT